AAGAAACTGATGACATGATTTAAATTTGAGGCAATAGTCTAAAATTAGATGTCACTTAGGAAGAGGTCAGTTTAAAAAGATTTACAATAAAACATCCCTGAAGTGCATTTTTTAAAAAAAACCATAAAACTTTCCTTCAAATTTGCATGAGTAAGGCCCAGTATGTATATTGGCTGCTAAATTGCAGTTTAATATACGGCAAATTTTGAAGTAGTTAGGCCTTCTGTAATGCAAACAAAGAATCCATCCTTAAGGAGAGTTGTGGATAGTTAGTAATGATCAAGGGAGAAAAGTTATTAGGATAATGTAGTTCTTGTGGAAAAATTAATTGAATTTCATTCATTATTTCCCAGCTACAGCTAGTGTATTTAAAATTAAATTACACAGGACATAACCTATTTGCATGGGTTTCTGTAAGTAAATATCAATACTTTTTTGGTTTTGGAAGATAAAATTGGAGTGAAAAATGGAGCACAGCCATAACAGATACATGTCTGTATTAGTTTTTCAGTATTGAATTACAGATGTGGAGAGAAGTAAATCCAAAGTATTATTTTGTCTCCCTCACTCCCCCTCATTCTTAAATATTTTCATCACCTTCTGCCTGACTTTAAAACAAAATAACATTTCAAAAATAAACTGCTTTTTTAAACATATATACAGGCAGTTGTAACTGAGTTCCTTAAAAACATCAGTCATTATCAAGGTCAAGTAGGCAGGTCATTCTCTGAGAAAATTGTTCAGTCATGGCTTGTTTGTATTTGAAGGAAGCATAGAGAGTCAGCTCCTAAATTCAATTCAATTTTTTTTATTGGCAGATCAAAATCACTGTTTTTTTTCTGTCCATAGTCATAGCAGGGAGAGCTATGGCTTTTCTGTTGGGAACTTCGTTTTATTCCTTTTCAGCCTTACGGAATTTTATAGCTTGAATTTATTCACAAGTGTACACAACCAAAGATTTATGACAGTAATTTAAATTGGGAATACCTTCTTTTAAAGGAAGTAAATTTTTGGGTTCATGAAGAGACTATAGAATTAAACATAAATAGAATTCAATCTAAAACTTTGGGTTTTTCTGTTGGCTTGATCACAAGCACATTCAAGCTATAAAGGTTTTGCAGAGTAGTTAAAGTGCAAAATGGCATTCCCATGGTACCCTTTGATTTTCCTTCTGGCCTGGACTATGGAGAGAAATCAGTGATTTTTGAGCCATTAATAATAACAAAAGGCGGTTTTGCTGGATTTCAGAATTACTCCTGCTAGAAATCTTACTCTGTGTTTATAATGGACCCACCAGAATAGATCTTTTTTGGTGCAAATGAGACTGTCATTTAGGAAGATATTCTTCATGTTTACCTAAGTTTGACAATGTGCCCACGCAATCTGAGTTAGAAGTGAAAGGATAATCCAGGGATTTTGCTTACTAAATGTGACATTGTAATATGACAGAAGACATAATCTTTAGAAAGGAAAAAAAAAAATCTGATGTTTTCCTCATACCTCTTTATTCAAACAAACACTCAACTCATATATGAAAGCCTGAGAAAGGACTAGTTTGCCCCAAAGCCTGGGACTTTTGCCTCCCGTGTCAGTTCTCTTAATAAAACAGTTTGCTTCAAATTTCACCCACTTTAGATTCAAAAAGATATTTCTACCATGTTAATCCTGCTCTTCTTTTCTCACTATGATTGCCAAACTGCCAAGATCCCTGTTTGTCCCTGCTAGGGAGGGTCTAGCAAAGTACAGCTCCTTCCATGGCCATTGTAAGTCTTGTCTCAAGAAATCCTTCGGTGAAGAAGGCTCTTCACAAGAAAAGATTCAACTAGTGTGCTAATCAAAAGAGAAGCCAGTGCGAACTCATCATACGAGCTATCCATACTCTGCTCTTGTAAAGCCGTGGCTGATTTATACCTGCTCTTAATCTGTAGTTTTGAATGATTAGTGTGTAGTGGGACAGAACCTTTTTGACAGTTGGAGACCCTTGTTAGATGTGTTGTGTTATGTCAGGAGTCAGGCATGGGCAATTGAGAAGTGGAAGATGTGATCTGACTTGAAGAGTGCTCAGCTGAAGCTTTTTGATTGCTTGATGCCGTAACAGTGTCACTGCAGATAGAGCATTGGGACAATTGTGGAATTTGGAGTAGCCTGTTTGCCTTTCCTCGGCAAGTGAAGATGAAGTAGGAACAAGTTATCTGTAAAACAGGGGGGAAAAACCCCAACACCCAATAACCAGAACTAAGATCTCTGGTTGGAATTCAGGTGGCTGCAGTTTAAATTACCCCTAACAGCCTGGCTGCTGATTGCTACTATTCATGAAAAGTGGCTTTGTTTTAGTTCTGACAGATCCCAGAGCAGGTGCTCTGCCTTGAGTTATTTTCTCTGAATAGCTAAAATATTCTCTTTTTTGATTTTCTCTCTCGACCCTCTCCTCCCACTCACCTCTTTGCTGCATTCAAAGGGATAGTGAAGAAGTAGCTTCCTGTCCAAGTTTCTTATGTCCATAGCGCTACTGCAAAGTGCCTTCCTTAGATTTCTGGAGGAGTTCGCTGAAGGAAGAAGGTTAGTTGGCTTGAGGTATTTGTGGTAATGTGCCAGCACTGCTAGCAAGGTACAAGTAGCAACTTGAAGGCGTAGCGACAATTTTATCTCATTTTTTTTTGATTCATCTCATGCACTGCTGGATGCCCCAGTCCTGTTAAACAATCACACGGCAATCAGCTTGGCTTCTTTCCCTGGTAGGTGAATGTCAGACTGAGCCTGTTTCAAATGCAAACAACGCTGCCGTGATCTGTGCCTTTGGTGTCCTGAGGTGCACAGTGGGGCACAGCGCTTGTGCCTACACCTTGTCCCAGCCAGGCAGCTCAAAGGGGGGCAGAGCTGGACTGGACGGATGCAGACGTCCTCTCCATTACCTTTGTAGCCTGTTACCTACCAGCTGGGCTCCTCAGCCCGGCGCTCTTTGCAGCTGCTGCTGACCTCGGCTTTCAAAATTCGCTCTAACGTGGTCCCTGGTTAGGCAATACACTGCTGGGATGATTTATAAAGCCTGACATTTTACAGGACTCTCCCTGTACTGTATTTCTGCGGTTGAGATAGTGAAGATTGTTGTGCCAGGCCTCAGCAGTTGAGCTGATAAGGTCCTCTTCAAGAATGACAACCCCTCCTTTTTTGTCTGAAATGACTAAAATCTGTTGATGTTCAAGTTACAGTGATGCTTATCTGTTCATTGAGAAGGGAAGAGATTGATAACAGTTAGGATCCTCATTGCTTGGACTGGTATTTAAGGCTACATTTCTTTCTCCTTCCTGATATTTAAGAGACTGTTCAATTTACTGTTACTTGTAATCCTTGACTGAAGCTTTAGTATAGTTCTAGATCAATAGAGATGGGCTTTCAAATGGACAGTATAAATTATAAATCCTGCGTTAACAATATGGTATTGTGTTGTAGCAAAATACCTGTTCGTTTCACTGCCATTTAATAGCATTCTTATTTTGGCCGATGAATCCTATCTAAATCCCATGTATATTTTACATCAGATGTACTGAGCTTAGCAATAGTAACATTAATCGTTCACATAATGCTGACAATATGTAATGGTTTGAGTAGTGCATCCTTTGATGCTGTATAGTGTTAATGACAGCAATAATAAGCTTTGCAGTTGACCACATCATTTGCCTTGAAGGATCATTTCAGATAACAAAAAACAGAGATTTGTTGTGCGAGAACTGGTTGCTCACACACCCAAGCACTTTTTCTTCCTGATAGAGAAGTTATTTATTGCTAGGACACCAGCAGTTTCTCCTGTCACAAGGATATGTTGTTGATAATGCCTGTAGAAAGCCACGTATTTCTAGACACATACTGTGAATAATCAAAACTGAGAAACAACATTATTCTGAGCCAGGTAAAATTACAATGGGAAATATAAGTGCAACTACCTGTGTAATGCTCTGGGTTCATCAGTTCCAAACGTTTTAAGACCTTTTCTTTTTGCCTGCGTTTTCATTTGCATCCCGTCGCTGGATTGCCTATGAGCTGTCAGGTAAACATGTTGCCTAAAATGCTGATAATACAATTAAAACTACTGCTATTTTGATATGCCTAGTTTTGTGCTTTCTGATTGTATACTGTGTTACCAACACAAAGGTTTCTGCTTAATCATAAGCTAAGCACTAAGTGCCATACACTGGCAAGATACCTGTTCCATAGTTTTTCATGATTATGTTCCTTGTGTGATCTTTTAAAGCCTCTCACACGACCAATGTGTTTTTCTGAGTAACTGTCATGTTGCTTTAGGAATAACCTCAGAAGTTATCAAAAAACTCTCCACCCGCTAGCATTAGCTTATGACTGAGCCTGGTTAATAGATTGGCCCTGATCTTGAGTACCTACTATAAGATGGACTATCTGGAATATCATTCAGTAACCTGAACTGGAAAATTAAGAGAGTTTGCAGCTGGGTGATGGGAGTGATCGGAAAGATGGTTATTATAAGAATCCTGTTCTGCCCATATTGCTGCAGGAAATGCGCCTGGCTCTTCTATAGTGCTATGCTTTATGAAACACCCTTAGAAACAATCAGTTCTCCTCAGCATCAGCACTGCTATCCAGGGGTTAAATCAATACGAACTTACTGGCTAGAATCCTGTTTCTATGCAATGCTCTGGAAAAATGGAAGGGCTAGACTTTGTATCAGATTAAGCTGAGTTAAAGTAGATTGAGGCTTAAGGGTTTTTCTATCAGAATGTAAAATATTAAACATAGGCAATTTTACCTTGTTCTTGTATTATTTAATTTCTATTTTCCCTAATCAATATTAAGCTGAATTCTTATAATTCCTATTATTTACTGCACTAGCACTCCAATTTAGCCAAGAGAATACTGAGAATGTAACATGCTTCTGTGTCTGCTTAAAGTCCAGATTTCATTTGGTACTTTTTATTTGTTTTCATTGCTAGAACATGAGCATTCATATTTATGACCATTTTGTTCCTCAGCGCCTCCCAGATGGCTCTGCCCCAAGTGCACATGCTGAATTTTATCTTCTGCCGGATCCTTATGAGGTCAGTCGAAGGAAAACAAGAACAGCTCCAAAAAGCTCTGACCCTACTTACAATGAAATTGTGAGTACCATTCACTTCCTTCCACCATTTCTTACATGTTTGATTTTCTTTGCCCACTCTTGAAAAAAAAAAAAAAAAAAAGCAATACAGCATTCAGAGCCGTTGCAATGAGCTGTTGCAATGAGTACAATCAAAAAGAAGGAAAGAAGGAACATATCATAAGCTGAACCACAAATGGGGACAATCTTCTGCTTTGCATCTTTCTCAGAACTGAAACAGTCTCTTTATGTCTCTCTCTTCAGCAAAGCAGTCGGATTATTCACACTGCTCTGTCTTACACCATAACCACAGTTACATGTTAGCCAAATGAGACCAAGCATCATTGCACCAAAATCTAGGCTCTTTTGAATGCAGATTTGTAAAATAACATAAAAAGTACTAATTAAATGGATGCTCTTACTCAAATTCACATTTAAAAACAGACAACCAAATTGATTGTCACTGTCCTAAACGATAACACAGTAATAAATAGCCAAGTTCTTTTTATGTCAAAATGCTAGCAGTCATATATAATTATTTCACACACCACTGAAGTGCTCACGCCTCTGGGGTGAAAAGAAACATTTGTATGGAGAAACATTTACAACAGAATGGGAAGTGGCATAAGCTATATTCCTATGTAAAGGCAGATGAGATTCAAACAGTAGGTGGGATTGGAGATTATTGCATATAACAAGTCTCCTAAAGGTCTGAAAGCAATTTACGAATGCAGTATGATCATGCTTTAAGACAGAAGACATGGAAAATATTACCACTCCACCCTGCTTCGTGGATAAGATATGATGAAGCTTAAGTCTCTCAGCTGAGACTAAGGGTCCTTATCTCCTAGTTTCCCAGTCCTGAGGTTTTAATATTTTTCTTTCTCTTTTCCTAAATCTATTTGATTACAAAAGTTACCTACTTACACTGATGACTTCCAGTGCTTCTGTAAGTAGGCTCCTCGAGTAGTATTGCTGCAAACAGCTGAGACAGATGTAATTTCCTTCCCTATGGTACTGCAGTGGAATAACAGGGAACTAGGCTTCCAGGCTTTATTTTTTTTGTTATGTTCTTTTCTTTTTTTGCAATCAAAGAGACAGTGGAATGAATCTAATTGACCTGTCTAAAGAAATTCCTCTACATTTGAAGGATACTTAAGCAAAGAAATACAAAGTGATTATATAATAACATCCATTGTAAAGTATCCAAAATGGACTACAGACAAGAACCAGACAGCCGCACTGGAAGACAATTATTGTTCTAATCATTATTAGATCAAGTTTAATGCAAGAAGATCCAAAATCCCATCTGCAGTCGCACAGTAGTCACTGGTAGGAGAGTTAATTGTGGTTAAAGAGAATTCCACTGCTGTTAAGAGAAATTCCGTGAAAACTTTAATATCCTTTACTCAAAACTTACAGCCTTCTTCACAGATGCTCAATCTTTTTCACCAGGAACTGCTAATCACAGTGGGGACATATGGTTCCATTGAACTTGGACATTTCAAACCCGATGCTTGTGCTGTTAGCAGCTCTGTTCTTCCATATGTGATATCATTCTGTATGCATTTTCTGTCCAAGGCTGGTAGACTGAGGCAGAAGCCGCCTCAGGGAAGAAAAACTACTAAAAATATAAGTCAGCTGTCTTTTAAGTTAGTTACTGTTCAAAACGCTGTGTACAGAAATGTACTAGCCTTTTTTATGAGTTCATAAGTTTTTATTAAAGCCAAATGGCTGGAAGGAAGCTGTATATTAATTTCTCTCTGTGTTCAAGACTGAGAAAATTCTGAAATGTGCTTCTCTTGGGTATTTTTGTTTTCAGTTTTGTACTTTTATTGCTTATGACTGCCTACAGCAAATTATCAGCCTTGCAAAAGTGCATTTTATTTTTGATTTTTACTCATGTGTGTGAGAGCGAAGATGTGAAAGTCCAGGAGGGCTGACAATAGAATGAACTGTGCCAAATGTTCTGGAGTTGCTTTTAAAAAGCACTCCTTTTTTCTCATCTTCCTTTATTTGGACTTTGGAGTTTGTTGCATCCACACTTGTATAACCTTGCATTAAAAAATGATGGTTGAAAAGAAGAGGAGAAACAACACAGAAAAACAGGATGTAGTGTAAAGAGAAAAGGAATAACATACCTGCTTATAGCCACTGTTAGGAATAAGATTTACTTGGGAGGTTCAGAGTAATTTAGTTAAAACTAGGGAAGTAAAAAAAAAAAAAATTGAAAATAAATCTGAATGATTTAAGTTTAAACTCTTGCCAACAAGAGTCGCAATGACCAGAACCAGCTGTGGTGGGGTCTTGCTCATTTGTGTAGCATTTGCCCTGAGACATGCTTCAAGGTTGCTCTTCAGTCAGTTGTCCTCAGCTTGTCTCTTGAGTGCCTGCACGTAGGCACGCCCACGAAATGAGCAAACCTCCGAGACAAAGCAGAGTGTGCGTTGCCACCGTGGAGCCAGAACGAGGGGAAACTGTCTCCATCCTGCCCTTGGGGTGTAGACAAATATAAGCAAATATACCTGGGCCTTATCAGTCTGTTAGTGTCGCTGCCGTTGCCCTCGGAGCAGAGGTGACACTGGCCTGCGACAACCAGAATAGCCCCAGTGAGCCTGGGTGAGGGGGAGGAGGGGAGCTGCACCAGGAGCCACAGCCACTCCCTCCAGCACCGTGCGTCAAAGCTAATTTGGACAATTAAGAGCGAATCTAGGAACTATGCCATGGCTACCTGAGGAGAAGCAACTGTCCGGCATTTGCAATTAAAATGTCATTAGACTCCTGCAGGTCAACAGTGCTTCTCTTTTTGGCACCAGGAATACTTGAATTCCAGCCCTGACTATCCCACTGATTTGCTGCATGGCCATGTATCGCTCACCTCCATTTGATCTAGCTGTATAAATGGGAGGCTAATATCCTCACTGCACAATAATTTCAGGATTTAACAGTTCTGATTATGAAATTCTGGCAGGTGGCATTTGTTTTATCCACATACTAATCCAGCCATCTCCAGACCTTTCTTCTGTGCCTGCATCCTGACGATATATACCTTGCTCCAGCTGAATTTGTAACACCATTTTAGAAACCGTTTATTGGGTTCATTTGAAAACCACCCACCCTGCACTGTAAGGCCTGTCATTGCTCAAAGCTTGAAGCCTCTTTTTGTCCAAAGATTGAAAGTTGTTCATTACCCTAGGTCGTGCCTGTTGTCATCCACCATACTGAAGATTTCCTAGCTCTTACAGCTTACACGTACACTTTTTGCTGATTTAAAGTAACAGCTGACGATGATATCTTCAATATATTGGCAAAGAAACAAGGCACCTTTCTATGGTAACATTAATATCACTTCAATGATTTGTTCTAAATTATGCTATCGCTTACTGCACCTGTCCTTCCTTTTTGGATTTTCTCCATCGTTTCGCTTTGATTGTGCTGGCGAGGTGCCATTGGGGGACAGAGAAGCTGGAATTTTTAATTCACACAGAATTTGGTGAAATAGGCACAGTAAACATCAAAACTGAAAAGCACTAGGCATGACTTTCGTGACAGCACTTCCACACTATGATTTCCAAAGGTTTCTAAATGGAAAAGGAAACGCTGCTGCCTGGTAAGACCTTTCCAGTAAATCCAGTTAAAAAGACTGAGTGGGAGAGCTTTTCTTTCCCTGTAGCCGTGGCAGTGGCTGTTCATCCCCACAGCACCGGCTGTCCCCCTGCACCAGAGAGCTAGGTGTCCTGCCTGTTGGCGCTCGCTGCCAGGGCAGCCTGGGGTCCTGCCTGTTCGGCGCTCGCTGCGGCATCCCTGCAGCCTGCAGCGCGGACATGGTCACTTGGCGGTCCCGCAGGGGCAGCCGAGGCCAGCTGGGCGAACCAACAGCCTTGTGCCTCCTGGGCCCACCCGTGAAGCTCAGAACCACATTTCTGCTGCTGCTCCATGTGAGGAACGTTGATGGGGCTGAGCCAACTTTACAAACTCTGTCCCTGTCTGAGGGACGCCTCCCGTGGCCGTTTCTGCTGCGTATAACTGGAGGTGCAGAGAGGACTCAGCGGTCCGGCCCACAGAGATGCCAGCTCGAGGGGGCTCAGTCTGAGTTTTCTTTTCCGCAGCAGAGCCATTTGCACGGACTGCGTTCCCATGGCACAGTGAACCCAAGCAGGTTGAATGGCAAACGCCTTTTAGGCAGTTTCACTCTCCCATTCTCCTGAAGTGACAGTGTGTCTCTGTGTTTGCCTTTTTTACTGCACAGAGAGATTAAAAATTAAAGCATTTTTTCCATTGCAACTGAAATAGCAAAAACATTTCTAGCCATACAAATTTTAGATTAAGTGTAGTTCTCGCAACAAAGCTTACCTTTCAGGCCTCAAACTGAGAGCATTCTTGCACATTTTATCAACCCACATGTGGTTCACTCAGCAGTTTTTGATTAATGCAGAGACTGAAACACAGGGATCTGTTCTGAATGCAGCTCATTCTTGTCAGCCTATCACTCCAGATCTTTTTTTTTTTTTTTTTTTAAATTCAGAAAATGCACCATTAACATTTCATAATTAACCTCAGTGTGTTCTCATAGTGTTAAGATAATTTCAGGGATATTTTAAAAACTTAAAGCACAAGATTTAATCACAAGTACCGTACTGAGAAAAAAATTCTGAGGTACTGTGCATTGATGTGATACACCTTTAGAAGACATATCAATGTAACATAAAGTTACTTTAAGGTACTACTACTAAGGAACATGTAACAAATACAGTCTACGTATGTTAAAAAAACCAACTTGACATCAAAACTGTTTTTCCTGATTTTTGCAAAAGAGCAATACCATTTATCCAAGCATCTGCTACGGAAAGATATTTAAAAATTACAATAATCTACACTTTTACAGAATTACCTATCTTAGTTTTTCACGCTGCTGTCCATGATGAGTACCCTCCATCTGAATCTCTCCTCCAGAAAATCAACTGTAATATCATTCCCCGGTGAACTCCATGGAGGGTCTGATATTTCTTTACATTTGAGTTCAAAACTCTGCTTAAGTTAGAGCTTCAATTTTCACAGGGAAAATTATGTATACCTATTTTTTACTCAAGCATTGAGCAACACAGGTTTCAAATTTATTTACAAATGCTTGGTAATCAGATTTCACAAGCCTAAGCTGGCAGAATCTCTTTTATATAAACTACATAAGGTCAAATATATTTCTGAGGTAAATTCACTAAGTTAAGTGAATTTGGCTCATGGTTAGTAGTTTTGTAATTCTGGAGGGCGGTTTAAAGCAATTGTTAGAAAGTTGTAATCATCATCCTGAATGCTGTATTGAACTAAGTGTTTTGCGTGTCAAACAGATTCACAGATTCACATGTTTTTTTCTGTGTCACTATATATTATTTCAGGTTGTGTATGACAAAGTCGCAGAGCTCAAAGGCCGTGTACTGAAGCTTATTGTGAAAAGCAAAGGAACATTTGTGGGAGCTGTTAACATTCAACTGAGCAGTGTCCAGTTAAATGAAGAAAAGTGGTATCCCCTGGGAAACAGTGTAATTTAAATGTCGTCTACGATAATTCAATTATTTATCCACTAATGTTTCTTTATCCCATTTCGCATGATACATTTTGTCTCAGTTGCCTTTCAGAATATTCAGTCATCTGCTGATCACATACTTTAACATTTCTAATCATAAGGCTATTGTCTTAAAATTGCTGCCATCTTCCTGCAACAGATTCCTGTCAGTGTGAGTTTAAGAAATCACATGGTAAGAACTTGTAGCAGCATGCAGGAAATCCTTATGACAGCAATAAAGATTTTTTGGGGTTTTTTTGTATTAAAAAGTACTGTAAAAATGCTAAATACTGTACACATCAAAGCATGGGTCCTAATTCTTTGTCCATTAATTCCACTGACTGTGTTGAAACAATGCTGATAATGGCGTAATTTATCAGCATCTGCTATGACCTCACTGCATACGATGATTTCAACAGAGAAGCATGGGATGGTTCCCTGGGTGCCAATACATTTCAGATGTCTAGCAAGTTTCATGTTAAATCTTATACAATCAATACACTTACAAAAAAAAACCCCAAACTTAAAAGCTTTGCACTTCACACACTTTGTGCTGTATATGTGGTGTGCTTTTAATTTTTGATATAATGTAACATTTAATCCAGGATTTTTATTTGTCAGTAAGATATGTCAGTGTTTCTTTTATTCTGACATCCAAGAAGCAGATATAAATGGTCATTTGTGAGAAGAAAGGAGGAGGGAGAAGCTAGTATTCATGAATAAATAAAATAAAACATATTGAATGTGAGCTTTCAGTGTGGTATTTATGTAAGATCATGCTATAAGGAATCTTTGTTCACCGGTCTTACCGCATTGCATCCTTCTGCCGCATAAGGGAATCAAGTCAACACGTGCGTTGACCTCAGGGCTACAAGATATATATATACATATTAAACAATCAATGTGAGTGGTTCCTTTGAGTTCACTGAGGCTAATTACGGGCTCTGTACTTCAAAGCATTTTTACCTAAATTGAGGAAGCACTTAAGCACATCTTTAAACATTTACCATGTGAGCCGCCATAATGAGCTGTCCGTTATTGCCAGCCTCTTACACACACATCGCTGACCATGGATATATACCTTTCCAGGACCAAGGGTAGATTTTTAAGGCATGAAAGACATGTTGATTTGTGATATGATATGCTGTAAAATTTTAAGTTACCGTATACTGTGTAGGTCTGACATTTGTCCTACCAGGTGGAAAAGTGGTCAACAGAGGGATAATAATGCCAGAAGCTGAAGATAATTGCAGCCTGCTCCCAAGGGGCAATCGCAAATCAGTCTTCAGAAGGTGATGTAGTATAAAGCTCCTGAAGTGGGACTAGGAGTGTTACTTAGGAAACTAAATAAGCTGCAGTTTTTCTCAGCATCAAACCAATTGACTGTGTCACTTGGTCAGTTTTTAGTTGAGAATAGATAGACCAGATTGCCTGGGGAAATTAAAATGCTCCTCACCCAGGGGAAGTGGGGGGAACTCTGCTTGAATATTAATACTATTAGTATTCTTCAGAGCTGAAAAAGCTATGAAATATTTACCACAAGAAAGGGGTATTGGCTAGCATACAGATATGATCACTACAAAGATCAGTAAGTCTTAACAATTTAGATTATAAGCTCTCCTGGGTAAAGAATCAAGTAACTTGTCACTCAGGCGCAGAAAACACGTTGAGCCCAGCTTACAATGTTATCAAATTACCTGACCTTACAGTTCAATATTGATTTTAGATTCCTCTTAGTCTACTGTCTTGGTTTCCTTATTATAACTATAATGTGATTTTCTAATAGTGTTATTTCCTGTGACATTTTCTAATCAGTTTACTGCATGCCCTGATTTTCCATCTTAGAGCAACATTAAATAAAATAGCATTAAAATGGTATTAAATTAAAAAAAAGCATTGAAATATAATATTATCAGAACTGTGTGCAAACAAGCAATAAAGTTTGGTATTAAGAAAGAAAACTATAAATATAACGCCCTTTTTTATAAAAAATAACGCCATGTTTGAGTAACAAATCTGCAATTAAGTTCGTAGATACAGTCCTGTGGAAGCTCAAAAATATTTCGGTTTTATGAGAAAGGTGGGAAAATTGTATCTTATGGGCAAGATCTGCACTGATAGCTATGTCAGGCAAGAAGTTGTCCTCAGAGATCTTAAATCACACAGTCAACCCTTTCTAAAATTCTCTAGTCTGCCTCAAAGCATTGTGCTTCCTATTTCCTGAGTTCACAGTAAGGTGTATCCTGAGCTCCCTGCTGCTATGAGGAACATAACCCTTCACAAAGCAGTCCGTGAATTATTTGTCTTTCTTTAGCAGCAGGAGGTTCAAGACTAAGCTAAGAAAAGGTACCGATATTAGCATCTGAGTTTTCATCATTTTAAGAGCTGGGTTTTTCTTCTCAAAACTATTTTTCCAGGTAGCAATGTTACAGTGGACATTAAAGAGGTGCAGCCCAATCAGAAGCTGCTGTTATTATAAATTTAAAGGGTACATTGTGTGTGTAATTTTTCCTATTCCCTTGGAAAGATACAATGGTAATAAATTTTGTTCAATAAAAATGTCAATTTAACATGCTCATAATTTTGCAGTCTCTGATCATAAATATTAGACTATTATTCTCGCTCAGTAATTAATCATAATTTTGAAATTAGCTGCAAATGCAATTATTAACTGAATTTTAAAAATGTTCAAAAAAGTTCAGTCTTTGTGAATTAGTTCTAAATAATGATAGGGCCAACGTCAGTAGCCATTACTTATTCAGGATACCCTTTTCTCCCACAAGAAGTCCCATTAGCTTGATAAAATCATTGAGAACGCGCCACTGTGGAAATCAGACCACTGAGTTGCTGTAGGCCTACTGATGCTGCTTTATTGAGCAGGGTGTGATCCTCCAGAGCAACTGCTGCTGTAGGATATCATTAATAGTACCGGACATGAACAAACAGTGATGCAGGTTTGAGATTGGTGCCATCTTTGGACAACAGGGGAATGTTCCGGTAACCTGTAAATACAATGACACTTTATTAGTGTATCAACCACAAACACAAAGATTATGATTGAGTGTTTTTATGATCTACTATGCAAATAAGGCATAAGTTATGATTCTCTAAATAACTCTTTAAAATAAACTGAAATGATACAGAACTCAAATCCCATTTCTACTGTTTTTCTCCTCTACATATACAGTATTTCAATTCTGGCATTTTTGGACACAGACTGAAAAAGTCCAGTGTCCTTCAGGATGTGGTGTTTTTTCAAACTGAAGCCTTTTAGCCCAGTGATATTTAAACATGGGGAAAGCATACATTTTAACATCCAAAGGCGTTACGTGCTGCATGCATTGTTCTGATAGCAATTAAATAACTTGTGGATCAACACTGACAGTGCTTTAGAGAAGACATGTGTTGCAGCAGCAATGCACTGTACAGCTGAGGCAGAAAAAAAGTGTAGTGTAAGATCTTCTACCGTGGCGTCTTAAGTCTGTTAAGGATCTCCTTTTACATAGCAGTGATTCCCAGTATCAGAGATAAGGCATGCCTCAGAAACTGCATGTCCATCCAGTTGTTGAAGCATTTGGAGAAGCTCTAGTTCACAACTTCAAACTTAATTAACTTATCTGCCTGGACAACAAAACAACCCCCTCTCCAAAACCCCAAACCTATTATCGCTTTATAGGACTGTAAATGTCCATTATTTCATAATAACGAACAACGTCACTTTTGATTAAAAAAAGATGTTTGGTGTTTTATGTATGTACGTATAACTGCAGTTATTTAAGTAAGTATCTGTTATGAATAAGTATCTATGTTCAGAACTGAAGTTTTCAAAATCCTTCTTTAGGTATGTCTGGATGTGTGTGTAGTCTTTGGGACCCTCATTTGTTCGGGTTTGGATTTTCTTGACTCTTTTATACGACATGAAAGTTCATCTGGCATCTAGGGTTCAGCTTCTGGGCAGCAGATGTTAAAGCTGAGTCCAGGCAACATGTATTTGAGATAAACTTTAGATCATCCACACAGTGTGTGGAACACCTGGATTGTTTCCTATCCAAAGATACACTTCAAGGACTAAGACTCATTTCTGAAGACCATGCTTTAAGACCCTACCTACACAATATGCTACCTCCTCTTGCCTTTAACCACTGAGCTAGAGAATTATTCTCACCTTCAGCCCTTCTGAGTATATCTACTTAATCATTGCATGAAAAATCAAATACTGTTACAGGTGAGCAGCAAGCGTTCTTCCCCAGTGTAATCTACAACTGAGCTGGGAGGCTGCTGCTGGGGAGAGGAAGGCAGGGATGATACACATTTGAATCCTTTCAAGAGAAAATGCAGGGGAGGGTGGCAATGGCACAACTTTGGCCCACTGCCTGTGAAAGCACTGAGCAGCTTTTGGAAGCAACTTGCCCTCCGGGGACACCTCAGGGATATGAATCCTAGGGAAGGAGGGACTGTCCTGTAGCCCAGATTAAAGCAATTGGAGCTGTGAAAAGTAAGATTTAAATCCTCTCACTCTTCAGCATTGTTTAGACACTTCATTCCTAAGAAGTCTAGGCTGTTGTGACTCCCGCTGTAAAACACATTATTTTCCGCTTTCGCTATTTAGTGACTTTAGGTACCTAAAGCAAAACTGTGGTTTCAGACCTGGAATCCAGAGATCTCGATGTTAAGCATTGCAATAATTTTGAAATTATCTGTCAGCTCATTAATGCATCTTCGAAGAAATTTGTTTATGCTTCTGGGTATCTTGATGGCAACTTAATTTTTTTTTTTTTTTTTTTTACATGATGTTAAGTGAGGATTGGGGCCATTTGTTTGGCACTGTTTATAGCTTCTGTACCTACACTCATTTCCTAGCATTTTAAATTACTCCCCTCAAAGTCTTTCCTGTAGAATCTGCATGCTCTTGTTTTTCCAAAATATGAGGCCCCCATTTGTGACCGAAATTCATCATAGAGGCACTTTAAACACACGGAAAAATTA